TTCACTCACAAGTCTTAGGCCTACTCAACACTTGAAATTGCAAGGCTAAGTTTCCTGACACAAATTGAGTTGGAGACTAAGGCAAGAGGAGGTGAAACTATTAAGTGGGATAGTTGAGGTTTGGGTAGGCAGAGGAATTAAAAAGTAGTAAGTGGGGAAAAGGAAAACTGCTAAGGGAGGAATTTTTTTTTTCCTGCTCCCAGTTGGTAGCCACAAGCAAAGTAATGTTAAATGTAAAGCTAAGGCTCAGTCATTATTAGAATTAAGACAATGAACAGATATTAAGAAATTATTTTCTGCATCTCAAATTGTCCATGTTAAATGAATTGGGAATTACCACTCAAACTCAAGAAAATGTTAGTTTGTCACTGGGCATTTTTGTGTGTGCTTCATTGGCTAATGGTGAAGCTTTTTCATTATAATATCTACCACCCTTTCTTCTACACAAGGGTTTGGGGATTACCATGGTATAACATCATAAAAAAATAGTCATAAGACTGAAAATATGGATTTAACTACTATGATGAAATTCTCTGAAACTCATGCAATGCCTTTGATAGTAATGTCATCGATATTCTTTGATTATTTAAACATTCTAAAATAATTAATACATAGCACAATTCTGTCATGTCAGATGCCAGAACAAGATTACTATGTAACAGTCATCAGATACTTAACCTCTAAAATAATCATGACAAATACATTTAAAGTTTTACTGATTGCTCTGTTAAGTAGTGATTGTAACAAGTAAGATAGCTGTGCTATGAGAGATATTTATGTTTCATCTCTAACATCTCTGTTCACAGAAAACCCAGCCACATCTTTCTTCATATTCCCAAATTTCATTCCTTCACTTTTGTTCTGCACACCCCATGAAACGTTTTACAAGGGCCACCCAGTGGCATGGTGGTTAAGACAGTTGGAGACCACGTGGTCAACTGTGCAGTCAGAGTCCTGGACCTGGCAGCTTGAGAAACATGGCTGGTGTACATGTATGTGTGCTCACAGTCATGAAAGGAGGAGAAATGGAGGACAAGCAATTGCAACGTGACTATTCCCCATGGGGACTGTTTCTCACTTTCTCTATTTCTCTTTTTCTCTCTCCATTTCTCTCTCTCTCTGGTTATTGCAGACACCCTCTAACAAATTAAAAAAAAAATTTAAGTAAATGAAACGTGTTATCTTTCCGTATCATGTTAACATAAAAAGAATTAAACATAAGAAAACTACTGTCATAGAACTTAATTCTCTTTTCTGGATAATTTGCTTTACACTGAAAAGTACTTGCACATACTTAGTATTTCTCAAGGGGAGTACAATTAGCATTTAGCTGTCCCACTTACTACCAAAGGCTTGCCACCCTTCACCCTTGCTCTCTAGAGATCAGGAGCACTACTCAGTAAATTAAAAAATAATAATAAAAAACAAAATCTCAGAAAGCTCCAGATAGCTCCTAGGAGGATGATAGTCCTATAAGAACCATGAATTATTTTATCTTATAGTCCCCAAAATACAATATGATAGATAAAGTAAGACTCATGGAAAACAAAACAGAAAGGACTTATCCAAAGTCATGTATCTATTTTGCTCAAGTGCACAGGCCAGCTAAGCTTTGGATCAAAACAGTTATGAAGTCCCTTGAGAACGTATGTCTCTGCCTAAATGCCTTCTCGTGCTTATTGACGGCATAATGGTAATAAAAGAAACATCTCCTCATGCTAAGGAGAATAAAAGTAAAACTAGTCTAGAATATTCAATTATATTAAATTGTAAAATTTGACAAGAGGACTTACAATCTTGGCACAGACATTTTCCCCACCTCTTACTTGCCAGGACTTCAGAGTATTGCAAGCTCAATTGAGTGATGCTGAGCGGTGACATCATAAAGAGACCAAAGCACTGGGAGTTAAAGGGGAAAAACAAGAGGAGCCACTTGTATTTGTGTTTTATGCTCTCTAAAATTCTATATTAAATGTTTAGTTTTACTCATGATTACTAACTAAATCCAGCTAGGGGCTTTAAAAATAATTGATTTTACATCTTAATAAATTACTTGTTTTGATTATTCTTGTAATTTTAATTCTTGACTGATATGAAAAAGAGATAAACTGAAACATCTGTGAAGATCAGTTGTAATCCTAATTTCTCCTACATTCATATATATTTTGCTAAATCTTTTTTATAACATTAATTTCCTTTTTCTATTTTAATCCTACAGCAAGTTTTTAAACAAGTTTAAATGCTTATGAAAACTATCAGCATACTAATAAATTTAATATAGTACATTTTTAGACCCAGCTATACCTCGTAACAGCATATATCATCAGAATGTTATTACTTCAAATTCACATGTTCCACCCATACTTACGAAGGGTTGTTTGGAATTAGAATTTTGCCAACCATAAAGCCAAAATTAAACTAAAAGCTAGCTTTAGCACTAGAGACTTAATAATAAAACTATGCCAACCTTATACATTTTATTGTTTTTTTTTTTTTAATTGCCAGAGGGCACATGTGTTCCCTGGGGAGAGAGTGTGAGAGAGTGAGAAAGTACCCTCCATGGGGAATGGTCACTCTGGCAACCCTTCCATTTCTACCTCCTTTCAGGATTCTGGGCATACACGTATATACACCTAGTGTTTTTTTTAAGCCGCTGGGTCCAGGACTTGACTGCATAGTCAGCCATGTGGAATCTTGTTTCCATAGACACTATGCCTTTATACATTATTTTTAGGTTCTAAGACTTTTACCTAAGTCTATACAACATTGACACTACCATCACATATAAACAATTTTATTGTTTCTAAAAAATGTCTTTGAGTTTTGCAACCATATCATCAAACAAAATTAAATAAATATATTTAAACTGTTTTATAGGTTATAAAGTAATTTGTGTACACTGACTCATTTATTTCTTATAATAAAACAGTAAAAAAGTTTATGAGAAGTGGTCCTTAAAATTTTCAAGAGATATTTCTTAAGACTTTGTAACATATTACAATTCAAAACTACATAAACTTCTTTAATTTTCTATTTTTCTAAGAATTATTATTTAATATTATTATTATTTTAATTTGAAAAGACAAGGACAAATAGAGACAGAAAGAGAAAGTGAGAAAGTAATTCCTAAGTTCCAAGACTCAGATCACGTGTCGACCATGCGGGAGTCCAGCGCCTTAACCACCATGTCACCTGCCAGCCCCTATATACGTGTTTTTTTTTTTTTAATTATGTATTTATCTATCCTCCCATCCATGTATCATTTATTTATTTATCTCTGTGTTGATAAAACATTTAAGACTGCTAGTAAGGGATATAAATACAGAAGAAACTTTATTATATACATTCTGAAATATTTGTATAGTGCATTTTTTTTTTTTTGAGAGGTTTTCACTATAGGGCGTGTGCACTCGCCAGACAGACAGAGACATAGAGACAGAAAGCGAGAAATCACCCCCCCCCAGGGGGGATGGTCACGCCGCAATCCCTTCTCCTCCATTCTTCTCTCGGGATCTTGAGCACACACGCACACGCGCCCGGTGTGAGTTTTAAGCCACCGGGTCCGGGACGCGAACCGTGGTCGACTACGTGGGAGTCCAGCGACATAGCCATTACGCTAACTGCTGGTTCCCCTGTATAGTGTATTTATATCATTTTTGTTATAAGAAATAACTTTAATGTTGTGCAAGTACCTAATGATTTATTTTATTTTATTTTTTTAGTTTACATAAAGTCTTAAGTGATCAGCACAATACTTTTTTTTTTTGGACACATTTTTGCTACAGGGTGCATGTACTCTCTGGAGAGAGAGAGAGACAGAAAACAAGAAATCAACCCCCAGGGAGATGGCCACATTGCAATCCCTTCTCTTCCATTCTCCTCTTGAGATCTTGGACATGTATGCACACATGCCTGGTGTGAGTTTCAAGCCTCTGTGTCTGGGACTCAAACTGTGCTGGCCATGTGGAAGTCCAGCAACATAATCATTATGCCCTTTGCTGATCCCAGCACAATACATTATTAAAACTAAAAAAAAAAAATAATAATAACATTTGTACTATCTGAGTTACATATGCTCATCATTAGTAACCTGAAAATTCCTTATGATCTATTCAATTTATAATTTTTCCTATTCTCCCCAAAGGGGATTACTATTCTGGTTTACAGCATTTATAGTCTCTATTCTATTTCATTCATTATCTTCTTCAGTTCTAGAATTTTTTAACTTATTATTTCTATTTGTATTTTGTCTTTCATTTTATTCATGCATTGTTTTCATGACTTTTGATATGTCTGTGTTTACTGTAGCTTGCCAAACCTCTTTAAACAATTATTTCTAATTCTTTGTTCAGCAATTCATTTAGGGTTCGGACACATCATTGCAGTGGTAACAACCTTTGTTGGGAGTGCTCATAGAATTGTTCAGAGTTGTGCTCTGGAACATGACAATATTCAGAGTGACAGCTGACTAGGGTACAGGATATCATGCACATGTTGCCTTGATAGTCATTGTGTCTGCGGTGTAGGCACTTGTGTAATAGCTGTAGAGTCAGGGTGTGGAGCATGGGTACATACAGAATGACAACACCTCTGGGGTCTGAGGCATAGGCCATCCTGAATCAGTGGTGGCTCTGGAATTTAAGGCATGGGATCGTGCAGTGTGGTTGAAGAGCCATGTCTGCGGGATGGACGTAGCTCCAAGTTCTGTGGATTGCAGGGGGCTGGAGTTTGGTGGCAACCCCTTCTCAGGACAACACAACCATGTTTCCTTCTTTGGGAATGATATAGGTGCAGTGGCTACTGATTTCCTCAGTGGCAAATGCTACTGGTGGTTTCTGCAAAGCAGGGAGTGGTGATCTGTGCTGATGAACACTAAGGGTATCACGATGTGAAAGGGGCTAGGAGTAAACATCCGTTGCACCTTCTTCATGACTGGAAGTGACAATCTCTACCCTGTTCTTTATTCTAAGCCATCATCAGACATCTCAGACATGCTGATCTTCCTAGCATTTTCTTCTGGGTGGATATTCTCAATGTTTTGCTTCATTGGGTAGTTGTGGGTTTTTAATTTGACTTTGTTCTTTTTTTTTTCTCATGATTGTCTAATTGTTATTTGTCATGATGAAATGAAAGTTGGTATCTTCCACTCCACCATCCTGCTGCCCTCACCAATAACAGATTTTATATTAGGTTGTGTAATTTACATTACAAAAATAATTAGGTAAAAAAATTAAATCAACTTAAGTCGCAGATTATAATTTATTCCACACAAATAATTACTGATCAAATTGAGATTACATTGTGAATACATATATATGTATGTATATATATATATATATATATATATTTATATAGTTATATATAGTTGAATATGTTTAGTGGATTTAACATTTTCATATAATCCCTGAATTTTTCAATAGAGATTAGAATACTCAACAAAAAGAATGGGGTTAGACTGAAAGCTACAACAACCAAACAAAAGAGTTCCTAATATTCAAACCTGGAACCACTTGAGCAACAAGATAAATAATAATTATACCAGATTATAGTCTATAATTAAAATAAATATCCATAAGATTACATAAATAGTTGAGTAATAAAGGAAGGGGAAGGGAAGAGAAAAATTCTAATTAATAGTACCAAAGGCTTGAGGAACATATAAATATTATTAAATGTGGCAAGACCTAACAATTGGTCAGTCTTGATTTAAGACACTACATAGAAAACACAACACTATGTAAATGTGATTCAGTGGCATTGCATAAAAATGAGCAACTAGACCATATTGTACATGAAATAGCCAAAAAGTTTTAATTTAATACAATATCCTTAACATAATGTGATTTTTAAAAATAATTTCTATGTCCATTAAATATTTTATACCTCTATATGCTCTTCTACATTTGTAGAGTTATTTTAAATGTTGGAAATGTCTATTTAATCATTTATGCTTCTGAAAGTTGTCATAAGATAGACATTTCCGTTCTCAAAAGGAGAAGTGAACAAGAAGAAAGAGATAACTGGTCCCATCCAAATCCAAAGTCGAACAGGGCAAACATTAAATCTTAGGTTCCAGAGTAATTTTTCTAAATGAAAGTTCCACCTTCTTTACACACTGGGGTGGCGATGGGCCCACAAGGTGCCTGGTGAACCCGCCTCCTTGACCTTTTTATTCACAGCCATGTGGGAGTTCTCCTGAGTTGTAGACCCATGTCTGCAGCTCTGTTAGGCTATAAACTGTTGTCTGAGGCTCTATGATCTTGTGGGGAGGGAGAGCGGTGCCCTCTTCCCGTGGTTCCACTAGACATTACCTTAGCCAGGGCTCTCTACCGTATTTTAGTATTAACATACATCCTTTTATTAGGAAATATCTCTTTCCTATGTATCACAATCACATAGAAGGTTCGTTAAAATACCGATAGAAAGGACCCAACTCCAGAGTTTCTGATTTAATAGATCTTGAGAAAGGCCTGATAATTTAAATTTCTAATAAGTTCCCAAATGAAACTGATGCTTCAGGTGAAGAGACCAATTGCTCTAATTATATTGCTATAGTTTGATACAGTTTCAAATGATGATTTAATCTTGTTGCAAGAGAATTGTGAAGTTATATATATATATATATGACTATATATAAAATCTTGCTTTCGTTTTTAGAAAGCTGGAAATATTCCTTTCTTATCCTGTATGAAAGTAATAGTCTATGTTTAAAACTCACTCATCATTTTGAAATACTATTTTGTAAGGGTGATTTAGGGAAATAAAAGAAATAAGACTTTTTAACCATCCCTAATACATTTGATACTTTATTTGATAATTTCATTGAAATCTAAATAACGTAAATGCTAT